GCTCAACATCAACGGGCTCGGTAGCAACGGCAAGAGAGAACGATGCGGTTACTGGATAAGAAGGGCAGCCAACATTGTAGCTCTAACAGACACAAGGATCCCAGCCGACCACAATTTTTGGAGTCAACTTAGACCGGACGCAGTAGCAGCAGTTTCACCAGATCAGAGAGCAAGCGGGGTGGCCATCTTGGGTTTCGCACCTGGAATCATCTTTAGGGAGGTCGTCAGTCACGAGTCAGGGAGACTCCTGTGCGTTACCTTCACATGGCAACAGCAGCAGTACAGGGTTGTCGCGGCTTATTTCCCGGCACAGTCCACCTGCACGGGGGAGTTCTTCAGAGATGCGTTGACGCCTTTCATACACAACTTACCGCCAGCAACCCACACCATCCTAATGGGAGACCTGAACATTGTCGGCGACCCAGACTTGGACAAGTCCTCCGCAGAAAACCAGCGCCTCTTGCAGATCTGCAGCAGCTGGAACCTGCAAGACGTTTTCAGGACACTACACCCAACACGGAAGGAATTCACTTTTTTCTCACGATCGGCAAAAGTCAGCACGAGGATTGACAGAATATTGGTGTCGGGCACATTGATCGGCCATGCAACGGAAGCAAAGCATAAGATGGTCCCAGTCGGCATCACGGACCACTAGTTTGCAGTACAGGCTACAGTGCAGGCGGCGGTACCTGGCGGAGGAGGTCCCGGGCTCTGTAGGTTGCAGATGACGCAGGCAGGAGAGAAGGGAACAAGGAATATTATTGAAGCGGTTGTGAGTGAGCATCACACACGGCCAGACCAATCTCTCGACGGGCTCTTGCTAAACATCAAGGCGAGTTTGAGAACGCACACGACGGAGGAGAGGAAGCGTGTGAAGGCAACGATTCTACATTTGGAGGGGTTCAAGAGGGTCCTGAAGTTGAATCCAACTGATCCAGGACTGTACGAGGAGCTGATAAAACACGAGGCGGCGTTGAAGGAATACCAAGAGAAAACGAAAACCAGGCTGCAAGTGATGACGGGGCTGACGGCAGAACTGGCGAGTGAGGCACCGACTGGTTATCTGACGGGGTTAATCAAGTCGAGGAAGGAGAAGACGGAGATTAAGGAGGTAGCAAGGAATGGTCAAAGGTTTGCAGGAGGGAAAGAAGTGCTGGCTGCGGCGACAACATTCTTCCGAGAAACCTACTCAGTTTTTCAACATGCACACACGGATGTTGACGTCAGCTGGGAGGTGGAGGAGGACAAGCGCCTGCTGGAAATTGATAAGGAGGCACTCACGAAGCCCTGGTCGGAGGAGGAAGTGAAGGAGGCACTGCGTGGGCTACCAGCGGGCAAAGCGTCGGGGCAGGACGGCCTGCCGAAGGAACTCTTTGAACAGAACTGGGAGTTGCTGGGGAAGGAGCTGATGAAGCTTATCGGCAGTTTTGAAAAGGACGCCTGCATGCCAGAAGCTTTCATGACGGCGGTGACCATCCTCCTGCACAAAAAAGGAGAGAGGGAGCAGTTAGGAAATTACCGGCCGATTACCTTGCTCAGTGTAGTGTACAAGCTGGTAGCGAAGGTTTTGGCCAACAGGATTAAGAAAGTTTTGCCGAGGGTAATATCGGAGCATCAGTTTGGTTTTTTACCGGGAAGGAGGCTGGCGGATGCAGTCTCAATCGTGGCAGATGTGGTTGATGCAGCAGCGGAAGGAGACGAGGACTGGCTCTTACTCCTCGTGGACTTCAAAAAAGCATATGACTCGGTTTCACGGGAGTTCCTTTTCACAACAATGGGCAAGATGGGCTTTCCTGCCAAATTTATCGACTGGACGAAGGGGCTTCATGAGGGAGCAGGCACGAGGATGTTAGTAAACGGGTGGACGGGTGACAGAATTGAGATGGAGAAAGGGGTCCGGCAAGGCTGCCCGCTCGGCCCGTACCTCTTCCTGTGTGCCGCGGAACCTTTATGCCAGGAAGCCAGGAGGAGAGGACTGGGCATAAAAAAGAGAGGAGTCGGAGGCCTAACATACGTGGGCTATGCAGATGACACTACTCTGGCGCTGAACGGCAAGGAACAATTGGAAACGGCCAAGACACTGTTAGACGATTTTGGACGGATTTCAGGCCTGCATATCAATGAGGAAAAAACATAGCTGCTGCCGCTGGGGAAAAACAGGAGGAGGCAACAACCTACAGACTCACCTTTCAAATGGGCGGCAAGGAATGAGCCAGAACGGCTGCTGGGTATTTGGATAACACCAGGAGGGTCGCCGGAGCCGTCTTGGTACAAGGCGTTTGAGCGGATGTGCGGGGAGCTGAGCAAATGGGATGAGAAGCACCTGTCTACCTCGACGAGGGTAACAATTGTGAACAGCTACGCGATGCCGATCCTGCTATTTCAAGCGCTGGTGTACGTGCCTCCACACGAAATATGGTTGAAGGTGAAGCGGATCTGCCATAACTTCATATCGAAAGGGAGAGCGTCATTTGACAGATATTTCATCCTGTGGAGCTACGAGCTTTCCTGCAGGGGGCGGAAGGAAGGAGGACTGGGAGTAATAAGTCCGAAGGAGAGGCTCGGCAGCATAGCAATACACAACATCGAGAGAGGAGCGGCCGCGACTGACCCATTCCGGAACTGGCTTTGGGAGAAGGCGGCGGGTTTCCCGCAAGGCCTCGCGACGATATATGTGCATCCTGCCATCCTGCAACACTGGCTAAAAGGGGGGGTGAGATGGAAGGCGACAGTGGAAGCACTTTGGGAGACAAAGACGGTGGTGATCAAGGAAACATCGAATCGTTGGGAAGCGGAGGGAGAGCATCTGCTCTTCAACAGGGAAATTTTCTTCCGAAGGAAATCCACGTTTGGAAGGCAGAAGGGTTCGTCTTGCCTGTGGGGAATCATGCTAGGCGACCTGATTGACAAGGGAGCCGATGGCAGCAGAAGGGATAAGGAGGAAGCGACGCTGGAAAGAGAACTCGGCGGGGTGGAGCAGAGGAAGTGGGCGATGAAAGCCTTCGAGGCAACACCGCCAGCCTGGAAGGAGATGGTCTTAAGGCCCCTTACGGCGGAAGAAGTTTTCGGAGCAGCGAAGCTGGTCAGAACTAACCCATACCGGTCAGGAGAGTTTCTCTACTACAGACTGCTGTACACGGTTGATGGCAGACTTTACGGAAAAAGGGTGACGGTGGAAACAGGAGGAGGAATCAGGGAGGTCCGCTATGCCAGTGCGACAGAACTGAACTGGGAAACTGCGATGCCGATGGTTGAGTTAGGAGGCGCCATGAAAGGGCCGCTGGGCGAGCCGAAGACAAGGTTGCTACAATCAAAATTGTGCGAGGAGGGGGAGCCTGCCGAGCTGCGTGTTCTAAGGAAGATGCTGAAACCCCAGCTCACGAGGCCGAAACAGCAGCTGCAGTGGGAGGAAGACTGTGGGAAACCTATTGATTGGAAGAGGGCAATTGAGGTGAGGGACTCGCTGGTGATACCAGCCAGGGCGAGGGAAGTGATTTTGCGGGCACACAGCAAAAACCTGCAAGTGGGGGAGCGCCTCCCTTTTCTGGGGGCGAGGGCAAACTGTATTCACTGCGGAGGGAGGGAAACATTGAATCACTGTATTCTGGACTGCCCGAGAGTGAAGCCGGTAGCAGACGTGATACAGCGTGCGCTCCGATGAATGAATCCTGACCGTCAAGGAGGGACAGTCGGTGATCTGCTGTTTCAAGAACCATGCACGCGTTCGGGGTTTCCAGAAGCCTCGTTAATCGCCACAGCATCACACCAAATATGGCTGGCAAGGTGCAACGCGATATGGAGAGGGAAGAGATTCCAACCCAAGAGGGTTCTGAGGCGGATCAACGTTCAGTTTACGAGACACATAAGAATTTACAGCCTGGCGAAAAAACGGCGGCGGGGGAAGCAGTGCCACGATGTCAAGGAGGACTGGGTACACCTGGAGAAAGATGAGGCAGAGGTGATGAACAAGCTCTACAGTGTGGAGGCATCGCTGACGTGGAGAGATGAGTTTAGAGCAGTATGGGAAGAGCCGCTCGTTGCTTTTCAACCACCATAGAGTGACTTCGGGAGGTTGCAACTACAAGTGTAGTTAATACACCTCCCTCCGCATCAGTTATGACTGAGGATGCTATTGTATGCTAAACTGTATAGTGTACTTACATCCACCAAAAAAATATATATATATACATATATATATACAGTGTCATGACTCAATGCCATGTTCTGCACTGTCATTACAGATTGCCAGGTTCTACAGTGTCATCACTCAATGCCATAACATGCCACCATGACTCTTTGCCATCTCTCATTAAAGTTCTCACAAGTCTGACATTCCGTTCACACCAATCTCCTCGCTCTTCGATTCTCCCCATCCTCCTCCCCCCCCTCCCCCCCCCCCCCCCCCCCCCCCACCTCTCCTAGTAGATTCCTCTTCTTCTGCCTCGAAGTAGCAATGGCTCCATACCTACTCTTCCCCATCCCCGCCACTCCCTCCCCTTCCCCCCTCCCCTCCCCTCTCCAAGTCTACAAGCGTACCCTTCCAGCAGCAATGTTTTCTCCCTCGCAGCAGCCTCCCGCAACCCGGCACTCTCCGAATCCCCCTTCACTTCCTTTCCCATCTCCCTTATCACCCCCACCCTCCCCCCACTCCCCAGTCTAAGAGTGGACATTGCTCACACGACCTCTCCCTCAGGCTTCCTCTTCTTTTGCGAATCCGAGCAGCAATGGCTCTCCCACACCCCAACCCTCCTCCTCTCCTCCAACCAATACTTCCTCCCGCCCTCTACCTCCTCCCCTCCTTCCGCCGCCTCCTCATCCTCCTCTTCCCCACCCACCAGCCCTTCCGCTCCCTCTCCCGCCTCCTACTCTTCCCCCGCAACCGCATCTGGGCGCAACTCACCCACCACTTCCACTTCCTCATCGCCCCCGCGCCTGTGCGCATCGGCCTGCAGGGGCGGTTCCCGACGCATGCGAGCGAAGGTCGAATGCAGTACGGCACGATGAACATGGGTCGGTGTCTGCTAGATGCCCTCAACTCCTCGGTCCTGCAGGAGGCAAGGGAGGTGCGGCTTGGGGCGGAGGGGGGAGAGGGCGGGGGAGGTAGGGGGGTGGGGGACGGAATTGCGGGAGCGTTAAGACGGGAGTTAGGGAGGGTCTCCGCAAGCAGTGGCGGCAGAGGCAGCAGCAGCAGCGGCGGCGGCAGTGAGAATGAGTATGGATTAGAGGGGGTGTCAGGGGGTGTCAGGTTATTGGTGGCGTCTCTGAACGCGGCTCTCGTGCATAACCTGTCAGTGGCAGTGACAGGCAACATGAGTGCAGTGCGCGTGAGTGTGGGCCATGACGTCACACATGCTGCCATGGGTGTCAAACTACCGCCCATCAACGCCACCTCTGCCGCTTCTCCTGCTGCTGCTCCTGCGGCGCCCACGTCGCCAGGAGCTCGAACCCCTGATGCAGGCGAGGCCACCAGTGCAACCAACAGCAGCAGCAGCAATGGCGCATCAGACACCCACGTGCACATAGTCCGTCTGATGATCGATGAGAAGCAGAACAACAGCGACAATGCGGGGGTAGACCGAGCAATGGTGGACATCTACACGCTCGCGCTCTTCTCCGACGCCCTCATCATCTCCGAGGTCTCCACTTTGGCTACCTCTGCGCCTCGCTCTTCGGCGTGCCCCGCACCACGTTCGTTGGCCCTTCCTGCAAGCGAGCGCCGCCGGAGCCATGCCTGCACTTCCCGCCGGCGAATGAGCGCTGTCCGGACGGGCAGGCGCAGGTGATGGAGCAGGTGGTAGCTGCGGACCCACATGTGCCACTCATGCACTGCGTGGATGTGAAGAGAGGGATTACATTGAAGCCTCTGGAAGGGTGGGAGTCAGACTCATGAGTAGGGTAGAATAGTAAGGTCAGGCAGGGTGTGAACTTTTGTTTTGGCATGGTAAAGGCCTGTGCCTGCAATACCATGGTGCTTTGGTGCCAGCTAATGCATGATTCAGGCTGGTCCCAACACCTAGAGCATGTACCATAATAATATTGGAACTCGTACCATGTTACGGGACCTTTGTTGGGATATACTTAAAATGTGTAACAATTTCAAGGCTTGCTTAATGTAAGGCTGTTCGCAAACAGTTCTTTTACGATTCCTAGGTCATGTTTCCATCTGTACACTTTTGTAGGCTAGGTTGGTCAGGCTAATTTGTACCCCTCTATGATCTCATTCTAGTGATTCTTCATTTCAAGCAGGCCCTCAGATTGGTTTCAGGGTATGCTGATGGATCAGCGTGCCCTGCCCAAAGTCGTGACCAAATCAGCGTTGGGGGTTAAGTTTATGCTGATTTGGCCAGGGTGAAATTTCATGGCTAACTGAATCTTCAGTGTAGAGAATTAACTTGATCTTAGAGGCCAGTACTATTAGCGTAGTTGTCTAAAGTTTCGCCCTGCTCTCGCAAAGATCCTAGGTTCGAGTCCCGTGCGTGAGAGGTTTACTACTGTATGGCTGGAATTTGGGCCTAAAGCCCCAAGTACCGGCAACCCATTCCCTGTGCCATACACATTTTGGTAGGTCCGAATCAGTGTGACTCAGTACACTACACTGATGCTTCAGTGTTACTGGTACACCTAAACACTAATTCGTCAGGGTAGTCCTATACTTTAAACTGAAAAATCAGTGCAAACATAAAGAAGATACTGAAACTTCAGGGAAAACGAAAATCACAGCTACAAAATCAGCCTAATCAGCGTGTTTTACGCTGATATCTGAGGGCCTGATTTCAAGTATGGTATCATTAGTAAGTTTTGTCCCCGTTGCTTCACCTACCGTAGCCCGCCGCTCCTCGTGTCAGCTAGAGCGCCTCGTCGCCGGCCCCTAGAGCGCCCCGTCGAGCGCCCTACCTAGGCCTGCGGCGCCCCGCCCTAGGCCTGGCACGCCCCACCCTAGGTCTGTCGCGCCCCTTGCCGTTAGCCGCATGCCGCCCCTGCCGCTATCCGCTCGTCGCGCCCTAGCTAGCTGCCCGTTGCGCCCGGCCCAGGCTGCTCGTCACGCCCCTGCCGCTAGCCGCGAGTCGCGCCCCTGCCACCCGTGGCACCCTGCCCGGAGACGGCCACACTGCCCGCCCCGCCAGCGCCAGCCTCAGCGCCGCCGCCAGCGCCGCTCGCGCGACCCACCCAGCCTACAACGTCTCCAGTGCTTGCGCCACTGCCAGTGCCACCGCCAGCGCCAGTGCCACCGCCAGCGCCAGTGCTGCCCCCCTTGCACGCGCTGCCTGCGCCGCCTGCGCCCGTGCCAGCCCTGGCGCCTGCGCCAGCCTCGCAAGCACGGCGTGCCGGCCGTCCGTTGCAGCTGCGCTCGTTGCTGCCGCCGTGGCTGCAGTGCGGCATCGCGGCGGCGGCGGATTGCTGCTCTTGCCAGCGCTGAAGCTCGCAGCTGCCTCCAACCTTGTCGCAGATACTAGCACTGGCACCACCGTCGCTGCCACGCGTGCTGCCGCCGTCGCTACCGCGCGTGCCACCGCCACTGCCGCACATGCCCGGGCCGCCCGATCCACCCGAGCCGCCCTCGCCACCTGGGCCGCTCCAGCCGCCCATGCCCCTCTCTGTAAAGAGAGAAAAGTGAACTACGTAGAAAGTAGAGAGTACAAAAAGAACAAGTGTTATCCTCTCTAAGAAACTAAACCATAGTCTAGCCTATAAATATTTTCATATATATAAAATATACAAACATATAGTTTGACACACCCCCTAGGCTAGACAAGGGATAGTATCTGAGCAACAACAACAAGCAGACCCAGGGCAGCACAGCTAGTCCAACCTCCGAGGCAAACAAGGCCACAAGGCCAGTCCACGTGTTCCAACAGAAACAGCAAACTACAGTGATCACGAAACAAGCAAACGAGGACCACAAGTAACTCGCCGGAGCTGAATACAGAACCATTGATGGTCGCAAGGCTAAGTGCCTTGGTGAAGATGTCAGCGGTGTTGGCCTCTAAGGCCACTGTAACGACGCGTCCCTGGCCGCGCTGCTGCAACTTACGCAAGAAGAAGTACCGCATCTCAATGTGCTTCATGTGCCCCACCTGTCGAGGCCCCTGACACAACAGGATGTTGGACCTGTTGTCATCAAAGAGCACTGGGGCAGTACGAGGCGGCTCACCCAGGTTGGTGAGCAGAAAGGTGAGCCTGCGCAACTCCTGTGCAGCCATGGCCCCGACGTAGAGCTCGGCCCCACAGCTAGAGAGAGCAGCCGACGGCGCACGAGTCGACCTCCCAAGACACAGCTCCAGAGCCGAGACTGAAGCAATATCCCTATGAAGACCTCCGACGCACGAGTTGACCTCCCAAGACACAGCTCCAGAGCCGAGACTGAAGCTGTAGCCCTATGAAGACCTCCGACGCTCAACGTCGTCTGCCCAGGACGCGTCGCTGTGCCCAACGAGGCTGGCTGGCCGTCTCCCTCCAAGCACAAGCCCCATGCATGATGTGCTCGCCAGATAGCGCACAACCCTCTTAGCGGCCTCCCAGTGGATAGGACGGAGTCTCCCGGGTGCAACAAGGAACGCTGAGAGGGTATACAAGATCTGGACGAGTACAGGTCATCAGGTACATGAGGCAGCCCACCAACTTTGCGTAGTGACCACTAGACTCAACAGGCTCATCAGAATCAGGAGCCATGAGCTTATGGTCGACTCCAAGTGGCGTGGCCTGTGGAGAGGAGTAGCGAAAGCCAAACCGGTCGAGGGTCTGCTGCACTTTGTGCGTCTGAGACAGTATAATGGTGCGCAGTGCTCTGTCCTGGGTAATATGCAAGCCAAGGTAGTAAGATATTAAGTCTGCCGACTTCGACAGAACATTGCGTGCAACTCACGTAATCTTATTATTTTGAGCAGGTATGCGTGTCAACTGTGTCAGCAGTGCAGCTTTGTCAGCTGTGGCAAAGGCGAGGTCATCGACATACACCAGGATGTAGAAGCGAGAAGGACCAGAGCGGACGAAGAGAGAAGGGTCAGCAAAGGACGGAGCGAAGCCAAGAGAAGCAAGGGTGGTGCGTAGGTGTCGTGCCATTCACAGGGCGCTTGGCGCAGACCGTAGACTGGCTGCCTAAGGCTCCACTGGGTGCAAGGAGGAAACGACCCAGAGAAACCAGGAGGACGGCGTAGCCAGATCTGCTCGTAGAGGCTGCCCTGGAGAAACGCAGTAGAGAATTCCAGTGAGTGAAGCTCGTACTCACGCGGTGCTGCTACGCACAGTAGTCTCCGAAAAGTAGTCATCTTCAGAGTGGGGGAGAAGGTCTGGAAGCAGTCTACCCCCTCTCGCTGACTGAAGCCTCTCGCCACGGAACACGCCTTGAAGACAGGCAGCGATCTAGGCAACTGGAGGGGGTGAGTTTGCCTTTGGCCGACGGACGGAGGACGGGCAGCGTTCGTGACCAACTGAGCAGTGTAGTGAAAGCGGTGGCTAGAGGCAAAGTCAGTAACAGTGACGACAAGAGCTGAGACCGAAGAAGGAGGATCCGTAGGGTGAGTGATAAGAGAGGACAGAACACGAGAGGCTGTAGGATGAGCTGCATGGAGGAAGGCAGAGAACGGAGGAGGAAACACAGCGAGGGACTCCTGCTCTACCGTCTCCTGGTGGGGCCGTGACTCCTCCTCTACTCTCTCCTGCTGCGACTGCAAGTGCACCCGCTGCTGCACTCGTGACTCCTCCTCTACTCTCTCCCGCTGCAGCTGCAACTGCACCTGCTGCTGCATTCGTGACAACTCCTCTGCTCTCTCCTGCTGCTGCTGTGACTCCTCCTCTACGCTCTCCTGCTACTGCGGCTGAGACTGCTCTTGATGCTGTTGCTGCTGCTTCTGCTGCTGCTGCTGCTGCTGCTGCTGTGCCCTCTCAAACCGCTCATGCTCCTCCCTCTCCAACCGGAGGAGACCGTGCTCACGGGTCAGGAAACGTACAGTGCGCAGTGTAGGCGCCACAGTGCCAGTGCCTCCAGCTCCAGCACCCCCAGAACCAGCACCTCCACCACTAACACCCCCGGGGCCTCCAGTACCTCCCGCAGGAACACCCCCAGGCTCCACAGCAACCGGCCGCAGAGAAGAACGAGGAGGGAACTGCGGGACGGACGGGAAGCAAGGGGGTGACGCGGAGCGAGGCCGCCGACTCGAGGCTGCCGTGTCCTCCACGGGAGTGACCTCCACGCCCACAACCCCTGCACCCCCAGAGCCGACACCACCAGCTCTTGCAGCCCCAGTACCCTCACCCTCCGCAACTGCACCTCCCGCACCCCCAAACAAGACAGGGACTGGACGCTGCGGGGGGGACGACTGCGGAGTGACGTGCGACACACATGACGGGGCAGGACGCGAAGGGGGGGGGCTACCGGGGCGACTTGGGGGGGGGGGGGCAAGGGTGAGGAACAGCGGGGGGGGAAGGCCTCAGTACCTCGGTGGGAGAAAACTCACCACCACGGTCCGAGTGTAGGCGAAGCCCACACAGGCCCTGGGCGCCACCCCACGCTAGTAGCCACGGCTCGAGGATGGTAGGCACGTCGTCCTTCCGCCGCAAGGGGAAAACCGTGGTGTAGCAGGAGTAGTCGTCCACCACACTCAGGAAGTAGCGCTCCTGATGTGGGCCAAGGACCGGGGAGGGGCCCCAGACGTCCAAGTGCAGGGTCTGGAAGGGAGCCGTGGTGGGGGGGAACGAGGAGGAGTGAGGGGAAGCGCGCTGCCGACCCTCGACGCAAGGAGTGCACGGCGGCGCAGGCGAGTGGGGAAGCGGTGCAAGCGACTCTGGGAGACCTCAGACCTGACGGTAACGTGCCATTCTACTGAGACGTGGGAACGACGGGTGACCTAGATGGTGGTGCCAGGGGACCGACGGGTGGGTGAGGGACCGACA